TACGTCAGACAGCAAGCAGTGATGTGTGGACTTAGCTTAATAAACGCTGTTCATTGAGCAGAATTTTTTTTCCAGGAGGGAACACAGTTCCCTTGCAGTAATCTTAATAGATGCAACTGGGCTCCATTTCCTGGCTTTGAGGTGATGAAAAATTAATTTCCATACTTCAGAAATAATAGTTCCCACTCACAGCACTACAGTAGAAGTAAATAGATCATCAATAGTTACTATTATAGCAATGTTGTGCATCCGGGCGCCTGTCGGTCGTAAATCCTTTTCAACAGACATGTTATTTCTTCTAGGGGAACAAACAGATTTGTTGTAGATCAGAGAGTCGACTGACAGATGGCCTTTGTGAAAACACACCATTTGTATAAATAAATTATATTTTTACCACGGCACTCGGCATTTGTAGTCTTGGAGAAAAAAAAAAGCAATGCCCCCATTCTTTAGCTTGGGCTTGAACTGGAAAAGGCCGTGCTGTGTGTGAGCGGCTCACACCGCACAGATCTGCCCAGGCAGATGCTGAAGCCCAGATCCTCTCAATGCCTGCTGCCTCTCGCCATCACGGGCCCTGCCTGGAGGTAGCAGGGTGGCCTCCCAGACAGCATCGCGGAGCAGCGCGAGCGATCAGCTGGCACGCTCCACAAGCCCTAGTTCTGTTTCCGTTCAACTTCGTGATACCATGTGCCTCGGGTTTCCTAACCACAACTTTGCATAATTGGGACTGATGGTGGATCTGTCTACGAGACCCGGGATATTTCACTTTGCTCTACCACACAGCTCATCACTTCAGTGATGAAATAGCTGGTCGGTTCCTTTACAATCCAGACCAGCCTTGGTGCTGAGCCTGATGCGGTGGAAGTCATGCACGTTGGAGCGGCACCCACGTAACACACACTTCAAATATTTACACATTCATGCACAAATGTGCATAATATGTATTTATATATGTGCATCTGTACTCTTACTAACTCTAAACATCCTGCTCTCTGATTTCCTTTTTATCTTTAAATTACCATACAGAGAAAAAAGTTTTCCCTTCTGCGTTTTCATACAGACTTTTTTTTTTTAAGATTTATTTATGTGTTTGTATGTATCTGTGCACCACATGCATGCAGTGCCCTCAGGGACCAGAAGAGGGCGTTGGACCTCCTAGAACTGGAGTTACAAATGGTTGTGAGCCACCACCCAGGCGTCTGCAAGAGCAACAAGTGCTTGTAACCGCTGAGCCATCTCTCCGGCCCCCAATACTTTGGTGGTTTTTAAGTTTTTGGGAACTTCATGGACGAGTACTGTATTTACACCATTTCCACCCTCCCTCTCCTCTCTCCAACTCAGTCCCTCCACTCCCTCTCAAATTCATGTCCTCTTCTTTAATTATATATATATATATATATATATATGTATATGTATATATGCACCTATGTGTATATAAGTAAAACATTGAGCCCATGTAGTGTTGTCCTGCAGTACATGTTTAGGGCTGACTACTTGGGGTTGGATGACCTATCAGGGTCATTGTCCCTGGGGACAACTACAGCCACTGTGGGAAGTTCTTCATCTAGGAGAGGAGTCTGGTAAACTTGCTCTGTCTGTGTTGACATGTCAACCAGTCCGGCCATTATGCATATTGTTGAGATTTCATGGATTCACCTTCTCTGCTGTGTCTAGAAGACACCATCCAGCAAAGGTATCCTGATCCTCTGGCTCTTACCTTTCTGTCCCCTTGTCCCCCTGTTCTCTGAGCCTTGGATGTTCTCTGCCTCCACGGGGGCTGGCAGAAAAGGATAGGTTTTTAATTAATGCTTTTTAAGGATCAGGACCGGTGAAACGGTTCTCTTGTTAGGAGACCAAGACATGAATTCCAGCCACAGATGGAAGAAACTGGGTTGAGGGCACACTGCTTGCCTGTTTCTTTCTTTCTTTTTTTTTAAATCCCCCTCCATGAATGATTTAGATCCTGAACAAGAAAACAAAAGTTTAACATTAATCATGTCCACCATTCAAAATGTAGCGACCTGGGAGACTTTGCATGTTTCCAGCTTTAACAAGAAAGATTAACAAGATTGATTGATTGCCAGCACTTCCCCGGCGATTAGATATTTTCAAAAGCTGTATTTATTCTTTAAAGTGATTGCTGAGCTGGGAGGTTCATTCATAACCTCAGACCCCCAGACTGCTCTGAAGCGTTATGTTGGTAGGTAGGCTGATGGAATTACCACAGCATCCAGGGCAGTCCACTTCCATCTGGCGGTTTCCCTCGGTCTGCATGCCTGTCTGTCTGTACGAGACAGATTTCTTGAGGGGGAAGAAAACACAAGTGTACTTACCTCAGGAAGAAAAGTCACCACAAAGCAGAGTCAGGACTGTACCTACATCCCACTTGGTGAACAAGCGAGCTTTTGTTGGGGTCACTAAGAGGAGTATGGGTGATGGATTACTTACAGGACCAGGGGTGACTCAAAAGCAGCTATATTACCATAAAAGCCCACCCCAACACCCATGGCAGCTCACAAAAGATGTAACCCTGGAGCTTTCTGCACTCCTTGCCAGCGGCTCCACAGGTCAAAGAAATATCTCTGTCTCAGCAGCTCACTGTTTCCTACCCCACAGTTGTTAGCTGTTTCTAAAACCTTGGGAAAGCTTGTATGTTTCAGCTTCCTCAGACATGTGACTGTTTGCCCGCTAAGTTTCCTACCACTTCCCTCCTAGAGGAAGCTGTTTCTGTTTGTTTCCTTGCTGGCCTGTATAGCCCAGGCTGACCTTAAACTTGCTTTGGAGCCAAGGACAACTTTGAACTTCTGATCCTCCTTCCTCTACCTCCAAAATGCTGTGTTTACAGGTATGCACCACCATGCCCGGTTAATTTACTAGACCAAACCCAGGGCTTCGTATATGCTGGGTGTGGTGGTTTGAAAGAAAATGACTCCCAAAGGGAGTTGGCACTATTGGGAGGTGTGGCCTTATTAGAGGAAGTGTGTCACTGTGGGGGTGGGCTTTGAGGTCTTTTTCTCAAGCTTCACTCAGTGTGACAGTCAGTCAACTTCCTGTTGCCTCTGAGTCAAGATGTAGGAATCTCAGCTCCAGCACCATATCTGCCTGCACACCACCATGCTCCCCATCATGATGATAATGGACTGGACCTCTGAAACTAAGCAAGCCAACCAAATTAAACGTTTTCTTTATAAGAGTTGCTGTGGTCATGGTGTCTCTTTACAGCAATAAAAACTCTAACCAAGACACTGGGCAAGCACTCTCCCAATTGAGCTACATCCCCAGCCCTTCATCTGTCTTTATGACTCTTGGGGTATCTTTATGAGATCTTGGGGGAATCTTGGCTTGCTTCAAAGAAGATCAGAAACACAAACAAAACTCATCTGGATGTACCAATCTTGCATGTGTGTACTTCCATCTGCCAACTATAAATACTTAGCTGCATGGTCATGGTCCTATTGGAAAAGGCATCGAGATCAATAGATCCTAGGGGAGTAAAACTGATCACCAATTGTGTGTGCATCATACACTGGATCAGAACTAATCGGGGAAAATAAAGGTCTATTTAATCCACAGATGATGCATTAGATTGTGTGTGGGGGTGAAAACAGGTTTGAGAGGCAGCATGGTCCCAGTGCAGGCAGGAGGATCAGCAGGGTTTTGTTTTGACTTTTTGAGGCAGGGTTTCTCTGGATAGCCCTGGCTGTCCTCGAACTCAGAGATCCACCTGCCTCTGCCTCCTGAGTGCTGGGATTAAAGGTGTGTGCTACAACTGCCCGGCTGAGGATTAGCAGCTTGAGGCCAGCCTCAGCTACACAACCAGTTTGAGGCTGCCTGATATACATGAGACCTGTCTCAAAATAAAAGGAGGGAGAGAGAACCGAAAGAAGAAGATTTTAAAGGGCAAAATGGATGAAGTTCTTTTTTTAAATAGGCGACTTGGAGCCAGTGAGGTGGCTCAGTGGGTAGAGGGGCCTGCCACCAAGCCTGGGGACCCGAGTTCGATTCCTGGAACTCACACGGTGGAAGGAGAGAATTGACTCCCTCAAGTTGTGCTCACGCACAACATGACACATGTACACACACACACACACACACACACACACACACACACACACACCACCAGGTGCACAAATAAATAATTGATTTATGAAACAAAACCGAGGACTTGTGGATGAATTTCCAGCAGATCCAACAGGACAGGAGTCTCTCTGACTGCACTGTGACCTGAGCCGTTCATTTCCCGTCTCTGCACCAGGCCCCACACCTGTCTGAAGGTAGACGCACTTCACCCCGCATCTCAATAAAATCTCACCAGACATCCTGCAAGGGTTTTTCTGGCACAAGCCTATCTTGGCAACTGGGAGCCAGGCAATACCACGATGTCACACCATGCAACAAACCTCATCCAAGAGATTTATTGGGGACAAGAAGAGAAAACAGCAGCTGCCTCTGAACTGGAAGAGAAACAACAGAGAGCCGGGCTTTTATAGGGTCTTTGGAGCATGCCCAGTGAGCCAGTGTTAAAGTACCGCGGGAGGTATTGCCCAGTGGTTAACTCGGAAACATTCTTTGGCCATTAACATGGATACAGCTGGGATTTCCAAGTGTCTAAGTGTTACAGCTCAGAAAGGAAAGGTATCCTGGCAGTTTGGAGCCAAGGAATATCACGAAGTCACACTGCACAACAAACCTCACACAAGAGATTTATTGAGAGGGAAAAACCCAGGGGAGTAGCTGCCTCTACCCCAGTGAGAAGCAACAGCAGCAAACTGAGTTGAAGACAGAGTTTAGATAGGATTTCTTGAAGGGGGGGGATGGGTGGAGCTTTCCGGGCTGGCCTAGGATTGGAGGGATTATGTGGCCTGATCTTGGGGCAGGCTCAGGGATTGGTAGGATTTTTTTCTGTGGAGTGGGGCCTGGCCACTCTCTCACGGGGGTGGGGGTGGCAGTGGGGTGGGGGTGGGGGCTGGGAGTGTTAGTGGAAAAGACTATTATAACTGATATGGAAGGGCCTGGTCCCTGAGATGCCTAGAGGGGCCTGGAGGGGTCAGGCAGGGCCACCGGAGTAGTCTGGGGGTGAAGCCTGGCAGCTGGAGGTCTCTAGGGGCAGAGTCTGCAAGGGGAGTTCTGTGCTCAGCAGGGAAAGCCACCCATACTGACTAGTCAACACCAAGTCTTGGTCAAGTGTAGGAAGGGTGTTTTTCCCTTGATCTTTTTACCTTACACATCTCAATCACTAATGGTGTCAACTCAGAATCAATACGCGGATTCATCGCATTATACACACACAGGTCAAGGGTTAAAAAAAAAAATGTTCCTACCGAAAACTGTCATCCACCCACCTCCTACCATTAGGTTAACTGCGTACTCCTTGAGGATATAGGTTGGGAGCAGTCCAAGAGGCTTTCAATCAAATGACTGAGTACAAAACTTCCTTTGGACTCAAAAGCGGCTGCACCATCCCAAAGTCTCCCCCCACACACACACTGGTGAAAGCTCACAAAAGCACAGCCCCTGCAGCGCTCTGCAGAACTTGCAGGAAACCCAACAAGTCAGAGAATGATCTCTGCAACTCGGCTGGTCAGTGCCTCCTCCCCCGGAGTTGTTCACTGTTTCTATAACCTTGGGGAGAGGCCTGGCGGAACCTTGAGAGTATCAACTTTCCCAGACACGGAGGGTTTGTTTACCTGATGAGCCCCGTCCCCAGCAACCCCCCACCTCTGCCTTTGGAGAGAATGTTTCCATTGGCAGGAAACCACTATACACAGTATATGCCTCCATCTCAGCGGTAGGTTTCTGGTTATGTGTTAAAAGCCCGTGATAAAATATGAGCCATTGAACTCCATCTGCCCAATGGAAGTTGTAGGTCTGTCCACTATATTTCCTGCAAATTTTGGAGCTGGTAGAGACTATTCTGGCTGGGTATCTCTAAATGCTGTGGAAACTTTGCCTATGGTTTGCTGGGTGGCCTTGGCTGGATCACTACATCTACCCAAGTTTTGATTCATGAAGTTTTGATTCTGCGGCAAAACACAGTATTGTGTAGTTGACGGCCCCCTTGACTCTGAGTGACTGCGTCATTTACAGCTGGTCCCCAACTTAACAGTTTCTCAGCTTTACCATTGGGCAAGAGTAAATAGCGTTCAGTAGAAATCATGCCTGGAGTTTTGGATTTCCACTTCTGTACGAGTGATGTGTGGTGAGCATCTCTTGGGATGCTGGGGAAGGTGAGGAGCCATTCCTCACTGGTGAGCTGGGCAGGAAAGATTACCACTACACCACAGTGCACTGTGCTTAGCCGGTTAAGTGTTCTGCCCTTATGTCTTAATTCGGCTTACACCATTTACAGGGACACAACCCCATCTTAAATGGGAGAATCATCTGTATTTGAAGACACTTCTGGAATGAAATGGGAGGCTCTTGAGTAACACACTTCACAGCTGTATCCTTTCTCTGGAGAGCACATAACCAAATACTGGATGAGACAAGTCGCAGAGGGTTCATATAAATCCAGCCGATAGCCCCTGAATTGGGGGGCAGAAGGATCAAAGAGTAAGGTCTTTCTTGGCTACATGGCAAGTACAAGACCAGCCTGAGCTACTTGAGATGATGTCAAAAGAAAGGAAAGAAGAGGAAGTCAGGTGTGGAGGCAAACATTAATCAGAGCGCTCAGGAGGCAGAGGAAGGCAGATCTCCGTGAGTTTGAAGCCAACTTGATCTACCTATCAATTTCCAAGCCAGCCAGGGCTACACAGTCCTTGTCTCAAATAGAAGATGGAAAGAGTGAGGAAGGGATGGAGGGAACGAGGAACGAAGGAAGGAGAAAAATGAAGGAAATAAATATCACATTAAAATGACTTGTTTTTGACAGGGTCTCTGTATATGGTGATACAGCCCAGACTGGCCTTGAATTCACAGAGGTCCACTTGCCTCTACCTCCCAAGTGCTAGGAGTAAAAGCATGTGCCACCATACCTAGCCACATGTACCATTTTTAGTAGAAATTACAGAGAACGTGACTATCATGTACCAATGAGTAATTCAATTACATTTCTCTGAGCATGGCTGACTGGGGGCCGGGAGTGATGGTCAAGTTCTCCTCCAAGGTGCTGGAACTGTCTTGAATGACGGCCTGAAGATTTTTTTTTTAAATAAGAAAGATGGACACTCCCTCTAGGAATATGCGAAGATGCCAGTAGGAGACATCTCAGATGGCCATCTGAAGTCCTTTAAATACCCATCTCTGGAAAGAGGACTGCATGCTGCTTAGATTTCTGGCCTGGCAAGGATTTTCAAAACAAGAGATGGGAAGGTCATACCCCAAAAGCATAAAGGGTCTAGGTGGGAGAATTAAAGCTGTCCTGCCTCTCTGACTGTGGGGCCCCGGGCCAGAGGAGATGAAAATGGAAACTTACTTACAGCATAATGAAACATGCGTAGTTTGGGGGAGAGCAAAGATGTGTGGTTCTTAGCAAACACTCAAGCTTAAAATGCACATTCTCAGTGGAAAGCACTGTCGTCTAGAAATGCCAGCTGCCGGCTCAATGAAATGGCATTGAGCTAGGGTGGCAGGGTGGTTAACCTCTCCCCACCCAGGCCATCACAGGCATCGGTCACCCCAAAGTCTCCCCACTGAGCACATAAATGTGAGAATCGTAAAGGTCTCGGATTTGGGAAAGTTCATTTGGTCAATGCTCAAGATTTCGCTTCATTTATTATTATTATTATTATTATTATTATTATTATTATTATTATTAGCTGATATCAAAAGGTTGCCTGCCTCTCAGACGCCTCTGATTCAGCCAGGTGAAATCTGAGGAAAACAGGGATGGTCCATTCAAGTTAATGCATATGGTGACTGGCCTTGGAGCCATGTGCCCTTGACAAGCTTCACAGTATAAAAGCAAGCCATGGTTTCCACCAGGGATCAAGTAACTACACATGCCCAATGTCACCTGATACTGTCCACCGCTCCGCCATCACAATGGAAACTAATAACAACTGCCCCTTCAGACGCTATCTTTGTGCTAACCTCAGTCCCCGTTGGGAGAGGGCAAATTAAAGCAACCCAATTTAAAAAAAAAAAAAAAAAAAAAAAGATGCTGGGGCACACGGTCTTCATCCACCAAGGAGCAAACACATTTGTGCCTCCAAACACTATACAGCCGATTCTCGCTCGGTCTTCGCTTATAAACAGCGGACAGGCAGGAGTATAAATTCTCGGTTCCTGTGGCCGCCGTGTGCGACACAGTCATGTGTTTGGTAATATTTTCAGGTCAAGGCTGCCTCCAAAGTGGGCTTTTTTTGCGTTCACCTTCTCACCCCATAACCGGCAGATGAACGCCCACACCTCTTTCTCCCAGCCAAGGTGAGTCGAGCTAACCGGAGCCTGTGGCTGGTGACCACAAGGCCTCCGTGCAGGGCTCTAGGGAAGCGGGGTCCTCGCAGCCAACAGCTCCGCGAGGCGCAGGCCCGGTGGTTCCATCGTGACCACTGCAGAAGGACAATAGCTCATCAAGCCCCACGAAAGCCCCTGGACCCGTCGCGGAGCCTGGGCTGGCGGGGGATGAAGCTGAGCGACTCCTCCTAGAGGTGGTTATGTGGAGAAGGAGCAATCCCTTCTCCCTCCTCCTCCTCCCCCCGCTACTATCCGCGGCCCGGAGAACTGCCGCTTGCCGCCATTGACACGCACAGATACAACCCCAAGAAAGACAGGGTCCTGCCCGACACCGGCGGCACGCGGGCCGAACCTGCGGCCGGGGATTGGCGCGCACTAGGCCACCGGGCGCCCGGAGCCCGCGGCGCAGCACCAGGTGAGCCCGCCATGCCCGTGGCATCATTGTTTCGGGGGGCGCCGGGGGTCTGGAAACAAAACCCTCTGCCCGGGCAGTGCAGGGGCCGAAGGGAGCCACGGCGCCTCCCCCTGCAGCCCTGCGGGCGCACCCCGGTCACCGACCCACCTCTGCCACAGAAATTAATAAATCGATTTGCTCAACTTGCTTCCTCGGGAGATAAAAAAGGGGGGTTTGCTGAAGACGCCGCGCGATGCCCGCAGCCGGCGAGGGGCTGGGGCGCCCTGGGCCAGGCAGGGAGGATGCAGAGATGCGGGGTCCAGCGGCCCGGCTGGCGGTGCCGGGAGCTCAGGGCTTCGAGGATGCGGAGCTCAGGGCGCAGGGGAGGGAGGAGGGAGGCGCCCGGGCGCCCAGAGGACCGGGCGGGGGACGCAGGCTCGCCAGGGCCGAGGGCGCGCGACCAGGGCCTCCGGGGTGCCGGGCTGGGCGCGGGCTGACAATGGAGGAGGACGCGGAGGCGCCGGGGCGGCGCGGATGAGGAGTCGGGATGCTGCGGGTGCCGCGGCGGAGGAGGACGCGGGGCCGAGCACTCCCCCTCGGGTTCCCTTTCCGGGGCGCTCGGTGCTTCCACCGGCAAATGGCGGCCCCTGTGCGGCTCGCCCTGCCGGTCCCAGCTGCTTAATTTGCGCGGGAAAATAACAATAATATTAATAATATCAAGAAGAGGGAAATCAAAGTCAAGTCAGGAAAAGGCTGCACCCGCTGCTGCCGCGGCTTGGAGTCTGCCCTGCCTCCCCGGCTGCCAGAGCGCCATCCAGGTGCACCACATGCCAGCCCCGCCAGCCTCCTGATCGCTCCCCAGAGTGTCTTTCTGCGCCTTTCCTCATGGGGGCGCCCTCAGCTCCTGCCCTCTTTGTTCCTCTCAACAATAGCCAAAGGGGCATCGAACCCCCCAAACGCTAATTGAGCCGCCGCCTCCAGGAGCTGTGCGTTGCTCATTGTGCCTGGGAGTGAAGTGGGCCACCGGTGGGCCTGATTTATGCCTGGCCATTGCTGCAGCCTTCAGGCCGTAGTTCTCTGGGGTGAGTGGAGAATGGAAGGGGCTAGTGGAAAGAGGCTGAAAAACCCAAGTGTGGATCGCTGCCTGTTGGGGGACGCGGTGGGAACCAGCCCAGACTGGAAAGCAGTTCTCCAGGTGAGCTGGCAGTCCTGGCTTCAGGGGAATTCACAGCAGGAAACCACACACTCTAGGAGCCCCAGGGCGATCAATCCAGAGTGGTGAACGGCGTCCACTGTTCCTCACGTGTTTGTGTTGAACACAGTTGCACCCTCACTGGGCTGTGCAGTCGCTTCAGTAGGTAAGGGGGAAAGGAGATGTTATTCCGAGCAAAATGTCTGTGCTTATGTCGTCTCAAAACAAATTAAACTGTGCCTAATCCCCGACCAGTCCGCTCTGTCTGCGAGACTGAAAGTTGTCCCCTACCCCATAGGGAACTCTCCGAACTAAATGCTCAGAGCTGCAGGACCGGCGGCCGACCGGTGCCTTTGGGTTTTCAGAAATGTTGAAATGAAGGAACTGAAATATTGGAATTCCTCTGTAGGAAATTGCATCTTAATAAAAAATAATTCACATCAGCAAAATCTCTTTCCTGCATCCAAATTCCCTCTCAAAATACTGTCTTCCTCTCCTCCGGTTTGTCCCACCCTAACACTGGTTCTGCCTCACCGGGATCCACTCATCCTTAGCCTTCAGATGGGATTGACAGTTTCTGCTATTTCAGAACTCCATACGCAGAACTTAGCCTCTGTGGATCTAGAATGTCCCAAAGATTCTGACCCTACTCCATCTTCTCTGCCTAGCTGCCAGGGCCTATTTGGCGCCTGTGGTCTGCTGTGCCCCAGTGGGTGGGACCCCCTGCTAACCGTAGCAGAGACAACCAAGCCCTGTTTTCTCTGCCTCCTGCTAGGAAAGCAGGAGGTGAATTCTGTTGCAGACAGCTTTAAATGGAAAATATCAATACCTACAGAGAGGCGCGTGCAAAAATTGAATTCTCTTAAGAATGTTTTGTTGTTGTTGTTGTTGTTGTTCGTAAAAAATAACCTCAAAGTTAGTTGTCGTCTTGGTGCATGCTTTTGAAAAGCGTGATGTAGAGATCAGCAAAAGACTGATCGGTCAGCCAGCATTCACTGAGTGTGGACTCTTAACAGAGCCAGAGAGAGCAACATGGATTTAAGGAAGCCAGGGTCCCACTCTCAGTGAGCATCCCACCAAAGGCCTAGGAGATGCTAAAATAAAAATACAGGCAAAGAAAAGGGCAAGTGTTATCATTTATGCTCCTGGGGAATTGGGTACCTCCTACTGTCGAGAGGGGTACATGCTGATACAGTGTGGATGGCAGTTGGGCATTATTTTAAAAAATTACTACATTTGTGTGTGTGTGTGTGTGTGTGTGTGTGTGTGTGTGTGTGTGTGTGTGTTGACATTTGTTTGTGTGTCTGCATGGGCATGCATGTGCCACAGCACTCCATGTAGAGGTCAGAGGACAATACCAGGTGTCTGCCCTTGCCTTCCACCGTATTTGAGACAGGCTCTCTGCTTTTTTACCCACCACGTAGACCAACCAGGCAAGCTAGCCCTGGGGCTTCTGGCAGTTCTGACTCTGCCTCCCATTTCTGAAGATCTTCTGGGACTGTAGATACTCTTCCTACTCCTCCATCTTTGACATCGATTCAGAGATTTGAACTCAGGCTTTCGTGGCAAGAACGTTTACCCAAGGAACCATCTCCCTCAGTCCTGAGCTTGGCACTATTAAATCTGTAATATGCACATGCTGTAAAGTAGCAGTTCGTTTCTTCTTCTGATAGTGTTATATTTAGTGCGTGTGTGTGTGTGTGTGTGTGTGTGTGTGTGTGTGTGTGTGTGTGGACGTCAGAGGGCAACTTACTGGAGTTGGTTTTCTTCTTCCATGATGTGGGCCCTGGGGATCAAACTCAAATTCTTAGGCTTGACAGCAAGCACTTGACCTCTCAGTCGTATTCTAGTACTCCATTTCTTGGTGTGTGTCCTCCTGAAGCAGACGTGTGTGCTCCGTGTGTGCGAACATTTATGGCAGGGTTTCGGTAGTTCCAACCTTGAAAACACCTTAACAGCCACTAGTAAGGGATGCTCCATGATCCCTGCCACGTCTGCATTCTGGAACACTAGACAGCAGTTAAAAAGAGTAAAGCCGCCGGGCGGTGGTGGCGCACGCCTTTAATCCCAGCACTCGGGAGACAGACTCTCTGTGAGTTCGAGGCCAGCCTGGGCTACCAAGTGAATCCCAGGAAAGGCGCAAAGCTACACAGAGAAACCCTGTCTCGAAAAACCAAAAAAAAAAAAAAAAAAAAAAAAAGAGTAAAGCCAATGTATATATACAGAGAAAGATCACCCAGGCATGCTATTAATAAAGACAGAAAGGGGCAAATCGCAGACATGCAAAATGAAACTGTAGATTTCTATAAATTAAAATACCATATAAATAGGAAGTGTAGAGAAGATATTTGAAGGACTGTGAAGAGCTTTGATTCACAGCTACTACCATGGCTATTGTGGCCTTTTGACATTGTACACATCGTCCAAGCAATTTATGGATTGCTTGGACAGGTAGATGCAACTAGTCATTTGGAAATAACATAAGATAATGTGTATGAAAGCCACAAAATGCTGCAATTTTTAAAGGAAGAAGATTTCAGGCCGGAAGGGAGGAACAGGGCTAGGTTTCCTAGAGAAGGTGGTGGGACTGAGTGGAAGCAGTCAAGCGAGGAGGCAAGAAGAGCTCCCTCACCTCCTCCGTCTCCAACAAAACTTTATGTGCCATCCCAGCAAGGCTGACCAGGCCCATCAGCTTCCCACTGAAGGATGAACTAAAAAACACTCACAATGCTTTTCATCCCAATGATTCTGCAAACAGGTCCATGAGACATTAAGGAGGAAGGGAGGAATAAAAGAGGAGAAAGGGGCTGGGGGTGTCTGTTTTGTTTCATGACAGGGTCTGGTACAGCCCAGGTTGGTCTTGAACTCTCTACAGAGCCGCTGATCCTCCTGCCTCTGTCTCCCGAGTCCCTGGGTTATATGCGTGCAGGACCACACCTAGTTGGTGAAGAGTTGAGACTAAAACCCAGAGCTTCATGATGCTAGGAAAGCACTCTGTCAGCTGAGCCACACCCCCAGCCTGGAGTCCCCTAACAGCGCTGAAGGCTGGTGTTTTCAGCAGCAGCTGGAAGGCAGGGAGTTTCTCTTGGGAATTAAATTCCATGGGAAGATGGGTCTTTGAAAAGATACTTCATTTGACAAAATACAGAGGAAACCTAAAAACGCTTTTGTAAAGGGTTTAAAAAACATACTATGTTTCAGTGTGTTCGTGGGGGAAGGCTGGAAGACAGATTTCTGAGAGTCGGTTATCCTGAGTTTTCTCCTTCTCACCGGTTCTGGGGCCAGAACGCAGGGCCTTAGGCTTTGCCGCAGTCTCCCTTCCCTACCTAGCCATCTTGATGGGTTTAAACACGCCTTTGAAGCAAAACATGTAAGTGGTTGCTTTTAAATTATTCACTCACTTCAGGAATACCTATCGAGTATCAACCATGTCCTTACCACTTGACAGGGTGTTGTCAGGGGTACAGTGGAGAGAAGGAGGAAATCAGGAACTGGAGGGTGGAGCGTTCCACGTGAGGTTTCTCCACAGATAGTGTAGCTGTGGTGAGTCTTCTCCTGACTCCTGAACGTTGTCTTCTGACTGCCACACAAAGACGGCAGCATGCACTCATACACACACACACACACACACACACACACTCATGAATAAAGAAATGTAATTAAAAATTTTTTGTAATAGCTTCTTTCGAGGAAACAAACCATGTTGAGGGCTAGCGAGTCGGCTCAGTGGTAAAGGAGCTTGCTACCAAATCCGATGACCTGACTGATCCCATGGTGGAAGGGAAGACCCAGGTCCCGCAGGTTATCCTCTGTACTCCCCATGCCCATCGTGGTACGTGCATGAATACGCATGCATGCACACATGCGCACAAACAAATAAATAGTGTAATAATTAAAATGCAAGAACTTAAGTTCGTATTGATGGTGTGTGAACTGCCAGCCAGGTTCTATTCTGAGCACTTGATATGAATGAACTTATTTAGTTCTGACCACGGCGCCACAGACAGCCGATGTTACTATCCCTACCCTTCAGGAAAGGAAGCAAAGACTGAGGAGGAGCCAAGGGACTCCAGCCCAGGAAGCCTGCCAGCATGCTCTATCCATGTATTTTTTTTTTTAAAAAGTGCTCCTAATATTCCAGTGATTCGGTGCTGATTTATGCAGATTTTTTTGAAGTATGAAAATTTTTATTTATAAAACTTATTTGCATCGCTGCCGGGAAACCCCTCCCATGCTGTGACAAATGAAACATAAAGAGAATCCGATGGAGCCACGTAGCGCTCTGCTTTCAACTGTCGTATCGCAGTATTAAGTGAGATAAATCTGATGGTGTCTCCGAAGCCCTTTCTGTTCGTTTATCCATCTCAACATCCATCATACTTTGCCTGATTTATTTGACTGGCATTGCCAATTTGGACCTTGGATGGAGTAAGTAATTCAAGTCAAAATTCCCACGCTTTGACATAAATAGGTGCCAGACATACACACAAACCACCAGCCTGGGGACACCACTTCAGCTAATTCCCTGGTGTCACAAGAGTCTTTTTTTAAAAAATCTTATCGTTTATTTATTGTGTGTGTTTATGTAGGTGGGCGTGCACATGCTACCGCACACGTGTGCCGCTGAGTACGTAGAGGACGTACTTGCAGGGGACAGAGGACAGTTGGCAGGAGCCACTGCCCTCTTTTCTCAGGGATCACACTCAGGCTTGGCAACAGGAACCCTTACCTACTGAGCCATCTTGCCAGCCTTAGCCACATTTTTTAACCTAAAATGATAACACTCAGTCTGCCTCGAGATTTGAGGGTTGTGTCTGGCTACGAGACGCCATTCTAGGGAAATGTTCAGATGCCTAAATTTGGTTGTTTCCATGAGAATTAGGCAAAAAC